CCCTGTCATGCTTGCTCTAAAAAGCCAAGTCAGATTCTATGAAGGGAAAGAACTGACTTTTCCTTCTAGTGAAGGTATTAAAAGAGAAGGATCAACTCTTTGCAAACAGAATGAGTCTGCAAGTCAGATTCTATGAAGGGAAAGAACTGACTTTTCCTTCTAGTGAAGGTATTAAAAGAGAAGGATCTCAACTCTTTGCAAACAGCATGAGTCTGGTGGTGCCTCAGACAGGGGACTGGGACCAGGTGACCTCTGGAGAGGCTGTTGTCCCTGCTTTTTTTGTGATTCTCTAGGCAAAGTTAAGTGGCGCTGCACTCTCAGAGGTTGCTGTATAAAAGAACGCCTGGTCTTTCAGGGCTTTTCACACCAAATATGTTCCGTTTACAAGGAGAAGAGATTTTGTTCAGCAGCCAGCCTCCCATATGCAACCTGGAGTCTGAGTACCCAGGTTTTTTCCTTTCTTTCTTGTGCATCCACAGCATCCGTAAGGATTTTGCCTGCCAAATCTCGGGGCTTTTCTTGACACCTGATCATCCCCTCTGCTTTGAGTGGGGTTAAGTGGCTGGCGTTCAGGAGTCTCTCTCACTTTCCATTTGCTGTCTTTGGTCTGCAGGCTAACAGGATTAAAAATCTTAAAAAATCTTGTTTCAAATAAGCAGATGTGACCCAGAAAACATACAAGAAATAGATCTTTCGAGTAGGAGAATGCCATTTTTACAGCCACTCTTTCAAGCAGAATTGCACTTTGAAGTTAGCATTGACTTCAGTTTCAGAGCTCTGCTTTAGAATGTGTTTGTATTTCCTTGTCTGTTATGAAACAGAGGCAGTTCACTCTGTGTACCTGTCCGCCTCAGTCAAGCAGTCAATAAGCACTTTGTTCTGCTTTTTTCTTTTGTTGGAAGCTGACATTTTGGCTTATAATGACTTTAGTGGCTTAACTACAGATGTCCATAAGTACTTGGCAGTGGTACTTGCCTGTCAAAATTCTTTGTCCCTGGGTATTCTGTTATCTATCATTTTCAAGTTATCTTTGATAGTTACAAAAGGTCTTTTCTTAGTTCTCTTGTAATGGTTATTCCCTTCTGGAGTTTTAGCTACAGTGCTTTGAGCGTTGCAGTTTCAAGTGCAAGCCCAGGATGGACTATCTGTCTTACAGACTTGGGTATTTAAAAGATTTCTTCCAGCAGGAAAGTGGGTGCTTTTCACAAGAAGCTCGTGTCCATCTGGTGAAAAGATTCACTCCGGATTTTTTTTTCACTAGCTGGTATTTTGTTCTTGTGTCTCACACACAAAAGTGCGAGTTGCAAATGCTGGCTTAACACGATGTGATCCAGCGAAGGAGGCTACCAGCAAATGCACAGAGGGTGGCACGTGCAGTGTAAGGGGACAGGGGGTGTCATCGCTAGGATCTTATGACAGTTTGGATGCGCTGTTCAGAACTAAGGTAAGGGGACAGGGGGTGTCATCGCTAGGACCTTATGACAGTTCAGATGCGCTGTTCAGAACTAAATGTTAAGACATCTTCATCTGTCCTGGACAGATCGCCTGCTCCTCTTTGTCTGATTGACAGTGAATTTGTAGAAAAACTCAGGTCAAGGACTTACCCTTCTGTATCTACCTCCTTCCCTCCTCGCATGTCCATACTGCAGCACAGTTGAATTTTTGGCCATTGATTCTCAAACACTGTGGACCAGCCAATTCCCATCCAAGTCACGGTCTTCCATTGCCGCCTCCCCAGCAGAGCTTTTTGGGAATTGGGAATACTGCAGTATGTTTTTCCATGGCTCTCCTCTGCTTTGAAGAAAGGCCTTCAAGTTGGCCAGAAAAGGTAGATCATCGTGGCTGTCCGTTCCACCGAGCTTACTGCTCTCCTGCTTTGGATCTTTACAGTGAACTGTGAGAAGGAAATCTCATTATCTCCTGTTAACCAAGAAATTATTCCCCAACACAGAGTCTTTTAAAAGGGTTTCTCTATGCTTGTGCTTGCAGTCAAGGCTGAAATATGTAGCCCTCCATAACCTGACCAGATGGCAGTCTGCAAGCATCTATTTCTTCTATTTTCATTGCCGAATACTCTGCACCTTATGCTACGAGGAGTTAGGTATAGAAATCACAAACAGTGAGAGATACTGTTAAGTATTGAAAACATGGGGGGAAACAAGCACCGACGTAATGTGCTCGTGAGAGCTATGTAATCTGCCTCTGCAGAGCTGATGAATTTGCAGGGGGTCCATGCCCTATAGCTAGAGCAGCTGGTGTGCTTGTATGAATCCCCGCAGAGAAATGTGGAACGCTTGTCCTTCGCACAGTCATCCAAACACGGAGGATACAGAGTAGGTCTGTTCTCTGGTGAGTTGAGAGGTCTTGGAAAAGTAAGGTTTGCAATGGGGTTTTTTTTTGTGCTAGCTTCTCAGAGAAGGCTGATTTATCTCGCAGCCAGCAGACACGTACGTGTGTGTGTGCGTCTCTCTGTGTGTGTCTGTGTTGAAAAGACCTTTTTGAGCAAATGCTAAAGCCGATGCAATGACAACCAATTTCAATCTCTTGACTAGGACGTTACTCACTGACCTACGGCTGTCTCTACTGTACTGTAGTCCTGGCTTTAGCATCTAGTAATTGCTTACTAACCCTTTGCAAACTATTTATAAATGTTTCATTAATATAAATGTAAGAAGGTGAACAATATGATTATACGAATCATTTTATAAGGTTGTACTACTGCAAAATGCTAGTGAAAAATGTTTCCCCTTAAAAGAAGCACTGCTATAGTGTAAATGAGTATTTTTGTTACTATTCTGGGTGTCAGTCAGAGGAAGAATACAGATTTTGCTGCCTACTTCACTATCAACCTCTTTGCTTCCCATCAAGGCTTTTGTGAAAAGATTTGCTCTTGAGCATTTGCTCAGCCGAGGCAGTATAGTGATGGAAGAGACAGGTGTTTGCATCTTCCATCACTAAATCATTTCAGGCATCCCATAGGAACTGAGTATTTCAGTATGGACAAGGCTCTCGTTTAGCTCTGTTCTGAAGCCAGGAGACAACTCGGCAAAAATCCTGTGGTTTTTCTGCCCTCCTTCCAAGTACTAGAGCAGCTCTACAGGAGCAGCCCCTGTGAAATTGGACTTGTTTTCCCTGATTGGTGCTACAGTACCGTGTGAGCACTGGGATGTTGTCCAGGGGTACATTGCCAGTCTGTTTGCACTGAGAATTTCCCAGCAGACAGTACAGGTGAAAGCCATTTACACAGCTACCAGACACAAACTGGGGCGGATCAGAAGACGCCAAGAAAACAAGCAGTACAGCTCCAGAGCGTGCGTCTTTTATCAAACCTATCAAGATCCAGTCCTTAAGCTGAGTCGTCTTAAATCAGACAGCCCTCATCTTGTTGATGTAAATGCCCACATTCCCTGCCTGATGGCTGAGGTTATATTTAGCTGTCTATATTAAATAGGCATGGCTGGCTTCTAGAAACAGTTTCTCATCTTGGGCCTGTAGTTTTATGGTCTGAGCAACTGCAGGCTGGAACATTTGTTGGTAATATTAATCATTTTTTACAGGTCTCACTGCAACTGTTAGTCAGATAATTAGATCGGTTGAACCTGCAAAACTGTGCATGTCAATTCAGGAGAATATTTTTAAAATTAGTTACTGTATGTTAATGTAATATACTCCATTATTTTGCTGTTTTGTTTTGTTTTAAGAGTCCTAACTTATTCTTGCAACATATCCTTGCATCAGCAAAATAATGTGTTGTATAAAAGAAATATGTTTCCGTGTGAATATAGTATACTGTTTACTCTAGAAGTCATATTTTATTAATACAGTGTTTTTATTAATATAACACTGTCACTTCTTGAATTTTAATATTAAAACCAAAGGTCCTCTGATTTATGTATTTACCATCTGGCTAAGTTATTTAAGTTGCTTTTCCTTATACATTTATATGTTGTCCACCTCTTGCTATTTCTTTATTTATTCCATATCAGTATCTAACCACATGCACTGCCATTTCTGAAGATCTAACACTCTCTCAATCACTATGGAGTCTGTGTCTCATTCAATAATCATATCATCTTAATAGCAGATACAGTATGAATGGAAACAATGGACAGCTTTGTTACGTTAGTAAATTCTCAGATCTGTTTACTGCCTAATAAAGAGAACAAGCAGAGAGCATAAAGTCAAATCTACTAAGAATTATAGAAACAAAAGAAAGCAAGAACATACTTTTTCTTTCCACTAGAAAGACTTTAGAGTGTGGTTTTCCTCCACAACAAGGGATTTTATTCACAAAGGCAGAATGAGGATAAAGTCTATTCCCTAAGACTTGCCAGCAGTGACAAGCTGAGCTCTTGCAGAGATGTGGTTCAAATCTTCTGTTGCATTAGGAAGCATTTATTCAGTATAGCCAGCTCAATTCCATTGCTTTGGGTTTTGCTATGTAAAACTTGCAGTAAGAAATAGAGTTCAAAATATGACCGAAGGAAGTTGCTTAGTTTTTAATGTGCGTTGAAAACCATAGTGTATAATTGGATAGTTTTCCAAGAGTCCAGATAACGCTGCCTGTGCAGTAACTCGTTTGATCCAGGGGAATGGGAGAGAGGAGCTGATGTGGCACTTCCTGGAGCGGTCGCTGAGAGCAGGAAAGGCTGAACGCTGAAGCTGTGTCTGTGCACAGCAATAGAAAAGCTTTCGGGAGCTTCAGCAGTGCAGGGGGAGCTGGAATCCTGCAGTCCTGATTCCATTTTCACTGAGCCCAAATAACGATCCGGTGATCATGTTACACCGCACATTGTTTCAGGAGAGTCCATCGCATTGAACTAATACACTAGCCCACTTTAAAAAGATCTCTATGTGCACAAGAGTTGCATATCTGAAATTATTTATTGAAGTCATGATACTTCATAAATTAACCCCATGGCCCATTTCCAGCCAAGAAACATTCACCATACCAGTCCTGCATTTATTAAGTGCAGTTCATTCAGAGAGCCCACATGTAGAGCTCGGCCCCATTTTCTCCATGCCCAGGAGTGCAAGGGAGGATCAGGGCATGAGTCTTCACTGAGGAAGAACCTTGGGGTTCACCATTCATTGCTCCAGATTAGCCCGTCTTTGTTATTTGTAGAATATAAGATAAACAGGTTTTAGAGTAAAATCCCAACTCCGTTGAATTTGATGGCAAGATAAACTCTTACAGACTTCTGCAGGGCTGGAATTTCAAACTCTCTGTTTATTTTTTGAGTCCCAATTCTCTAGTGGATCTCTTAGTTTAGCTCTTTCATCCAGCCCAACTGAGTATGTAAGAACTGAAGCTTGCTTCCTTACGAGAGAGATTTTTCTGAGGAAAGGCTGCTCTCTGCACTCTGAAAGGGTATCAGGACTTGAAGGTGGAGTTATTTTCTGTGGGTGTTTGAGTACTCTGTTAATTTGCTACTTTATGATTCTTCTTCTTTTCATTCTTTTTTTCTTTTTAAGTAACTTGCTTTTTATTGCAGACTGCAAGCGCAGTACACTTAAGCTTCCATACTCATGCTTCTCTCTGAAATGTTTTGCTTTAGTTTTTTAACTGTCGTCGTGCTGTGAACTTTGCAGATTTGTTTATGAGTGTCACGTGCTTCTGCTACATCTGCATTGTCACTGTTATGGTATTTTTTCTTTCTGTCTGTTTCTTCCACAGGAGTTTAACAAGTAATCTGCCCAATGTGAATCTACCAAATGTGAATCTCCCTAAAGTACCAAATCTACCAGTTAACATCCCGCTAGGCATCCCACAAATGCCTAGCTTTTCTGCACCGTCATGGATGGCTGCTATTTATGATTCTGAGTGTGTATTCAGTTCAAATTAGATCTCATTTAAATTTAAAGTAATCTTGGCATGGATATGTATTGTTTGTTTCTGTGCATTATATAAAACTTTAAAGAGTGATACAGTTAATTAGACGTTTTCTGAATGAGACACTCATGAATTTCTGGCATGTGTATTTCGAGGGTTTTTTGTATAAATCTTGAAAATTTGTCGTACTGCCACTGAGAGTTTGAGCAAGTATCTTGCTTTACAAAATAGCTGTCAATGATGGGACATGGTCTGAACGATACGAACCACAGAACTTTTAATGTGACATTCTGTGTCTCAGCAAAGAGTTTTGTCCAAAAGAGAAGACGAACCAATTTCAATGCCGGTGAACTGATTTCTGTGGACCAGATGTAGATCTAAAAGTGAATTTTATTTAATGCAAGCTCCACATTTCCCAAATAATAATTTTTGTCTTGGTTTTCATGAAACAGTTTAACAAAGAGGGGCACCCTACAAAAGTTTTTATTCAGACTGGGGGAGGTCCCAGAGAGCAATTAAAGCTCCATAGTCATCATTAAGGCCTGAATAATGCTGTGACCAACTAAAGAAATATATTTTCAACCTAAACTTTAGATTGCAGCCTGGAAAATCAGGCACGGTGTCAAAGCAGTCAATCTGTAGGAGCTTTGTGCTCTGTGCTCCCAGCTCCCTGTCCAGGGTGCATGAGTGGACCTCAGGGGGACATACCACAAATCCTGAGCACAGATTAGGCAAGTTCTCTTCTGATAGCAGATTTCCCTTAAAAGTCCCAGCCACCAAGCAGTGTGGAGGATGGTCCACAGTGGGCTCAACCCAAATGTGGCCATTTGAGGTAGCTCATCTCCCATGATGTCCTAGCATGGGAACTTGACAGTTCTCCTTCTAAATTCCTGGAGGGTTATTTAGGGGTGGCACGGGGTGGTCTCAGCCAGCACTGCATGGATGTGTTGCTTCATCCCTACCTTCTCACTTAAAAGACAGAACTGAAGAAACCCTCCAAACCTGCCCCTTTCACTGTTACTGAAACACCCTCGATTACATCTACACCTGGAGTCCACCAAAACGCCTCTGCTGTTAGCCTCGCGCAGGCTGTATGGCAGTGCAGTAACGAACCAAAGTAAAGCAACCACTGATGTTTGATTTTTTAATAGATTTTTAAAACTTTAAAAATATTGACACGGTCATTTATGCTTCAAAGCTATACAACTCATATTCATGCTAAGATAGTTATATTAAAGGCTAGCTTAGGCAGTTGTCTGTAAAGAGTACTTGAAAGTTTTAATCTTTCTCTGTGCATGCTTTGTGGTATTGCCCTTGAAAAGATAAGAATCATGTCATGGCAGAAAATTGGATAATCCCTCTGAAAATGCTTGAGCATCAATGGTATATTGCAAGCTTCCTGCGTGATTAGAGTAATTGTGGTGCTCACAAGCAAAATATTTAACAGTGCATCTTGGAAATGAATATACAGTATTGTTTACTTGCATGGAGCCCTAATCAAAAGTGAGAAAAAGACCAAGAATGATACATTTAAAATTTTGAAACCAAATGGATGTCATAATGTTGCTGTAGGAAATACCAATTATTGTATTTGTACGTATTTACTTATTTAAAACATAAATTCGTGCAGTTCCAAAACTGGGTGTTGGCCGTTAAAGCTTATTTATACCCAAGCACAGGTTTGAACCAGGAGAAACTGAAAACTGCCTAGATGAACACTTGAGACTGTTGTACAAACTGCTCCCCTGGTTAAAGGAAATGCCTGATTCTTTATCTTTTCATCTCCCTGGTTTCCTCTTACTCACCCTTCCCCTCCATCAAGGACATGTTACCTGTCACTTAGTGTCAGACACGTTTCTCCTGCAATGGAGATGATTCATTCTTTCTCTCGTTAACTCTGTTAGCGCAGGACCCCGCAGGACCCCTTTAGCATGTTGGGACTCTGGTTCTCACCTCGCAGTAGCCGTGTCTGCATTAGCTGCGGTCTCCTCTAGCATTAACTCAATGCAGCTGGCATCTGTCACAATAGAAACACCCTCCCTCAATCTGTTTCTATAGATGATGTCAGCACAAGTGGTAATGCATGGTGTGTTCAGTATCTTACAAATTACCGTGTTAGCATTAGTGGTATGCGAGGAGGGGGTTGAAACTCTTGAAGCTCTCTTGGTAATTGTTCTGAAAAAAATAAAAAAAAAGTGAGGGAGAAGGAGAGAGGGTGAGAAAAGGTTTATGGATGCATAAATTTCTCTGCACAAACAGAGCTCAATCCAGTCCTGTATTTTTATTCTGTAAGTGGAGGTTTGAGATATAATTATACTGTGAAGAGAGCCGGTGTAGCTACACACTGCAGGACCGAAGGCTTCCATCTGGGCAGGGGTGTGGGTACAAGAATATACGCTTGGGAGAGAAATTCAGAGTTTTATGACAGACCAAAGATGTTGCAAAATAAATTTTTTAAAAATGGAAATTTGTTGTCCTATAGATGCCTTTGCAAGAGGCAGATCTGTGAAAAGGTGCAGTGGTCAATCCTGCCAGAACTCCTGGATATGAGATGTCTAGTGCCCTTAGCTCAATTGACTGACCCCGATTTTTTTTCAGCTGTTCAAGAGATAAAGCGTGTCCTCGCCCACCACTTGTTAGCACTGTCCCTTACCTGGAAACGGGGGCCTCCCTGGGGGGGACAGGCCAAACTCAAGGTATAATTCAGAGGGGGGAGAATTGCATGAGACCCTAAATCTTAATAACTGCGTACAGTCTAGTATGGCAGTTATTATTGATTGAGGATTTTCTACCACAAATTCTGGCCTTAATTCTTAATAATCACATACATTGATGTGGTTATTAACTAAGGCTGATTTTTACCATACGCACATTCTTCCTGTTAGTATGTGTAACTCATAATGTTGTCTTACTCACCTGGTCTGGAAAGTTTTGTGGGTTATGACAGCAAGGTAGATTAGGCAACTGTATGGTAAAACTCAAAATCCTGATGGTGGAGATTGCCAGCGTTGTCCTGTGTATGAAACTACTGTCTGCCCCGCACTCGTTGCAGGAATGGTCTCCACATCAGGTTACCAAGAGCCTGATGCCACTTATGACTCTTGTTCTCATTTTGCCCTGCCAGCAATGGATCAGGCACCTCGGAAGATCTGTTCTGGAAACTTGATGCCCTACAGACCTTCATTCGGGATTTGCACTGGCCTGAGGAGGAGTTTGGAAAGCACTTAGAGCAACGCCTGAAGCTTATGGCGAGTGACATGATTGAGTCCTGTGTGAAAAGGTACGTGCCCGGGAGGGAGCTAGTCATGGGAGCTCGCAGGGTGCAATAGTTTGTTCTGTCTTATTATCAAAGAAGCTTCACTTCAACCACCATTTGTTAGTGACCCCAGCTCACCTCTGCCCAGCACAGGCATGGTGGAAAGACACCCCACTGCTGTGAATTGTGGACTTTCCCAAGCAAGCAATTCTCTGTTGAGACTCTGGAGAGTGCATATTCCCAATAAGGCAACAAATCACTCATTCTTTCAAGCTTTATGGGATGTTACTTATTTTTGGTGCCACATGTGAAGTCAAGTCTTTGTAAGTACAGTTTGGTGTTGGTGGGGTTGAGTGCTGAAGGCATAGCTAAGATCCCAGCACCCACCTAAAGAACACAGAAACATGAAAAAAACAGCAAAAAAGTGATCCCAGCAAGGGGATATTCTGTAGCTTGGCACACAGGCTTCACATCTGCTGTCAATTGAGAAAAGCTGTTGTGTCATCAGCCAAGTTATAGGATACTCACCTGCAGATCTTCCAAAACAGAAGGTTTCCTTAAAAAACTTTTAAACATACAGGCAGCTGTCATTTTGGAAAAAAAAAAAAAAAAAGTAAAAAAGTTAAGGTTAAATTTCCAACCTTTCCACAGTAATCTATGTCTATTTGGCTTCAGAGCTGTTGAGGCAGGAGAAAGAAATTAACTTTGCATTCCATTGTGCAGAAATTCATAGACAAAGAGTTGAATCAAAGGAAAAATGGGTGCCAAATACAGCTGGTAGATGCTAATATTAGCTGCAAAGTGTGATGTGGCTGTTCTGTACCACAATTGCCTGGCCCCTCTGCAAGTGCGAGCGTGGCATTTATTGTTCGTGCGTTCCTCCCAGTCTGGATGTGTAACGTCACCGTAGGAGAAGGCACGTTCGGTCTCTGAGATGTACGCAGGAGACTCACCCACTGGAAGGCAGACAGCTCAAGGCTTTCTCTGGAATAAAACCCAGTACATTTGAAGTGCAATGAGGTGGTCATGATGTCTTTGGCATTGAGCAATTCCCCCTTTATTGCAGCATCTTGGTCCTTTGGCTGTCACGAACACTGAGCTCCAGTTGTCAGACAGTCCTTAGGAGCGAAACCCGTGCTGGAGCCCTGCTCTCTGCTCTGCCCCAGCACCACCAGCAAAACACTTATCTTTTTTTTTTTTTTTTTTTTAAATCAGAACCAAGGTACCTTTGCTACACCTTCAGTACAGTTATAGCTGCAGTGAGCTGTAGAAATCAGACCAGGTTAGCTCAGCTGAGATAACTGGGAAAAATAAGCAAGTTTCCAGGTACATCTGAAGAAAGGCTTGTGTGCCTGCAAGCCGGGGGTTTTTTTCCCAACTGCTTCAACCTTTCTACAAATATGATGTCCCTCTGTAGAAACCTGGCCCAGCTTGTAGTGGTATGACTATATATAATGGTTCTGAGCATAAGTAGGAACATACTCATCTCTGCAAGGAGATGGAAAATCCCAGTCACTTTGGGTCCTTTCAGTAATTATCAAGATTCTAGTCCCCGAGTCCAGGCTAAATCTGGCACTGGTAATTAAATCAGTTCAAATGCCACTGGTGATGTAAACCAATATGCTGCCTTCCCTATTTATATCACCTGCAAACAGGGCCTGGCTAAGGTTTCTTTAGCAATTTCAGTTTGACACAACATTTTTCTTCGCGTCTGTCTCTGAACTGTTGAATACCATGGAGGAGCCACCCCGCCTTCCGTGCTTGGTTGTATTTTGGTGCTTTCAGGAAAGCAGCCCTTGCAAGGAGGGCTTGTTTCACTAATAAATCCAGGCAGGAGGACCTATGTACCAGCTCAGATCTCATCCCAAGAAGGAGAGTTTCACGTTTGTAAATAAGTTTCCATTTGCATAACCCTTGGGGGATCGTTCGACATCAGAGTTATTCCTGAGCTGCATCTGATATTATTTGTTATTTCTAAATTGAAGCTCTGATGTTAATTTGTTGGCAGATTCTGTCTGATGTGATAATTGTTCTGTGTTAGGTTAGATTAGGGAAGTACCTCAGGAATTTTCCGTGTGCTTCAGGGAAACTAACTTATGAGACAATGAGGAACTTTCAGCAAGCAACTAAAATCGTGTAGACCTAAAAATGCAATGATCTGGCAACGTCCTTTCAGTCAAGCGGTGAACGAGCTTCTGTTACTTGTAGTTGATATCATGGAGCAATAGGAGCTTCCTTTAACGCACCAGGTTTGCTGTTTGTCTGTGGTTCTGAATCAGCTAATGTAACCAAATTATAGGTGTACATTGACACTGCTGTTTGTAACAACATCACACTGTTTATCAAGCATGAGAAAGTCATAGTTTCCCTGAAACTGTTGCACACTTTATAAATAGGGTGTATTCTGGAAAGTGGGGTTTTTTTTAAACTGGAAAATCATTTTTTTGGTAAAAGCACGTTTGTAACAATTGCACTCTAACATTCCCAGCAGCATTTGGCTTTCTGGTTTGCTGAACTCTTCTCAGTATTGTTTCACGTTATTATTAGCTTCAGTATGTTAAAAAGCAACTGAAATGTCGTTTTCTCTTTTCCTGAACAGAACCAGGATTGCATTTGAAGTAAAGCTGCAGAAAACCAGCCGATCAACAGATTTCCGAGTCCCTCAATCAATATGCACCATGTTTAATGTCATGGTGGATGCCAAAGCTCAGTCAACAAAGCTTTGCAGTATGGAAATGGGCCAAGAGGTAAAAATGCAGGTTCTTCCCTTCCCAGCTTTTAAAAGGCAATGATACGAAATTTCCTATCTCCTGTTGTGATAGAGTCAGAGGCGTTATATCAGTTACGGATTTTGCCTTCCATATAGAGGGTGCAGATGAATGTGCAGGGGGTTGCTCTCAAGTAAATCTAATGGATATAAACATTCTGAATCCCTGTCACTTAGGAGTGACTTTTTGCAAGGACTGTGGTGTGCATAAGGTATTTCTTAAGCTTTCTTGATGCGTGATGACCGTATAAATCGAGTCATTAGCTGCTCCTTGGAGCCAGGTGTTGGCAACACACTTTCTGTATACGACTCTTTTCTGTAGACAAACATAAGGAAAACACAAGTGTCAAGTTGTTGCTGTGTTGCTTGTAAAGAAAAATAAAACAAAAAAACAAAACACCAAAGCAGATAACTTCCAAAAGTAGATTGAAATTCTGGCTGCTGTGACTTCCTCGAGTACTGGCTATAATCAGCAAGTTTGATGATCCTGGATTCCCAGGTTCTTAATGACTCAAGTTTTCAAACAACGAGCCAGTTTTAATTAATTGCTGATATATTTTTTTCTTCTGAAGCCATAGTTGCAGGTTGACGTTTCTGTGAATTGATCTGTGAATTAGAAAGACACAGTAGGTGGGACTAGGTTAAATGCATCATCATGATCATTTTGCCACAGTGGCTCCAAGCCAAATTAAATATTCCTATACCAGTCTAGAATAAATTCACAAATACTGTTTGGCTCTCCTATCCTGCTGCTTGTCAGCATTTCCTAGGTAAGACCTTTTGCTACAACTTTCCATGGCCAGATTTTGCAGTGAATCATTGCAGGTTGTGGGGTTTTTTCTTTAGTTGTTCACCTCACCCTGTTCCTCTGAGAGGACTTGCTCCAAAGGCCACTGGATGCAGCAGGGATCCTTGCCCTCCAGTCAGTGGTGTTTGGATCAGACCCAACTGTTCTTTTTATTTTTCTTATACGTTTCAGTTATAACATTTTATTTGTGACAGTCACCTTGCAAGAGAGGTTTCATACTGCTCGTCATCATGTTCTTCCTTCATCCTCTGGGTCAGCTGAGGCAGATCTTCAGTGGGTTTTTATTGTCCAAGCCTGGACATGAACTTCTCTACCATTTTCTGTTCTACATTCATCCCATTTATCTCCCCAGTTCCCTCAGCCTGCCGGGGCCACAGCATCTGCCCTGGCAGTGCCCTGTCAGCCAGGGAGGGTCATGATGCTCCCCACTGCCAACCAGGATCAAACCCTTGTGCATTGTACTAGCACAGTCCCTGGGGACAGGGACATCTTGGAGATCAAGCAGACTCCGATACCACGACAGAACAAGCTCATTGCATTCATTAAATTCTCAGGTTAGGTATTCAGGAGGCATGAGACTGACTGAGAGCATCAGCTCTGTCTGGGTGTAGTGTGCCCAGGCACTCGCTGCATCTTCCCATGCTGACTTGTGATGCTCTGTGCTTGCCACAGTTTCCTCCAAATTTTGAGCATCAAATATTGGTTGAGTCACCATCCCTGGAGGTGTTCAAGAAACGTGTAGATGTGGTGCTTAGGGACATGGTTTAGTGAGTTAGGTGGTGTTGGGTTGGACTTGATGATCCTTGAGGTCTTTTCCAACCTTAATGATTCTGTGGTTCTATTCTATGATCAGTCACATTGCACATTCAGTCTGAGTCAAATTGCAAGTGAGAGGGGCGCGGGCAGGAGTGCAGTTCTTTCTCTGCTCTTCTCGGCTGCAGTGGGGTGAGCTCTGCAGGTCTGCCTGACTCCGGTGTTTTTGACAGATAGCTGAACTAACAAACCTGTAAAGCAGATGTAAATTATTGGTGCATAAGTTACCATTTAGGGCTGCAGTATTTTATACACCCTCCCTTTTGCTTTTCTTCCTTCAGCGAGTATTCCTACTTCCCCCTCTATTCACTCATACCACTCCATATTTTGGCTACCTCCATCTCCTTGAAACTGTCTAAACCTGTGCGCTGAGATGGTCCTGCTGGTGGGGGGTAAAAGTTTAGATATAGATCTGTCGATGCTGCCTGCAAGGGCAGAACAAAATGCCACCCCACCTCTTCCAGTGGAAATGATGAGGCAGTCAGAGAGACAGCAGAGGGATGAGAACCCGACTTTTGAGCCTGTGTTTTCCCCTGTAATTTGGGGAACTGGGTCTGCACATCGAGTCCCTCTGTGCCCCCATCCCTGGTGCATGGCCACCCGCAACCCTGCTGGGGAGGGATGGGCAGGGGCAGGGACAGACGGTCCTCACTGGCGGGACCCTCCCCACTGCTGCAGCCGCTGTGTGGCTCCTCGAATAGGTGGTCCCTTGGCAGACAGGTCAAAAGCAGCAAAAAGGGCTCAAATTGCCCACTGCAGTGTTCACGCCGGGAGGTTTGCCCAGACCTAGCTGGAGAAGACATTTTACTTAGAAACAACCCCTGATTTTTCTGACGGTTTGAGCTGTACGTGAGCAGAGACTCTGGAGTTATCTGGACGTTATCGCCCATTATCTGACCTCGCCCCTGCGGTTTGCCTCCCACCCCGTTGGCCTCACCTTCAAGAACACCTTCAGCTACACTCACTTTAACAGATATTGAATGCATTTTGCGAGCATTACCCTGTGAAACAAACACCCATCATTTCGTTTCCATTTCCTTGTCTCTAAAGGCAGCTGTTAAAACATTTGGTAAACATACTTTACCATCTTAAATATTTATTTTTCCTCTGAATTTTTAATACATCTAAGGGGATAAATGTATGTATTAAATGTTTCTCAGTTGGTCTAGTATGTTTCTATTTAATATCTAAGGTCAGATGGTCCTTAGAGAAATACAACATACACACAATCTGTTACATGACAAGGCAAGATACTCATCACATAAAGTCAAGTTGAATCATTGTAGTGCACTGATTAGGGATTGTAATAATTGAGCTAATAGAAAGCTGCGATAAACTCGATCAAAAGCGGGGGCTACGCTGGGTAAAGCAAACCAGCTATGCGATCTTTAACCTTGAGCATTTTCATAAGTAATGTAGAAGGAGCTGCTGGAAATGCTGGTTTACGAGCCAGGCGTCTGTGAAGCAGCAGCAGGCAGTCGTTTTCCATACTGCCTCCTCCTCCGACCCTGTCCTGGCCAGAACTCATCTTCCCAAGGTGGAGCTGGGGCTGCTTGGGGCTGGACCCCCAGTCTCTGTGTGGTCCCTGGCCCTGGCACCAGGTCTGAGCCTGCCCCAGGGACCGCAGCCACGGTGGGAATGAGCAGTCAGGGTCCCACCAGCACTGCCTTGGTGTGTGCACAGGGTCCCCTCCTGCTCTCAGAGCTGTGGTTTTATTCCATCAGGGCTCTTGTTTGCTTTTAAGTCAAGCTTTGGATTGAAAATGCATCAGTCAGCATATTTCAGTGTGGTGTTTTGCATGTAGCTAGCCAGTTCTGAGTTAAAATTAATTATTTACCCAATGAAAGCAGTTAGCTAAATCTTTGGTTGCGAGATCTTCCACGCACACAGAAAATGCAGCAGCAGAAGGAAAACATCATGAGGAAGACACCCCGCAATGTGTGCCCAATCCCTTCGGCATCTCCCTTAGGAGGTCCTGGCTGTGCAAACCTAAGCCCCGCCCTTTACCCAGCTGTAACGGGTCCCCGTCCCCCCGCAGCCACATCTGCAGCTGTGCTGGGGACAGCCAGGTTAGCCCCGGGAGCTGATAACACCTAACTCTGCATTAAACAGATTAATCATAACTATCATCCCTATAAGGGACTCATATATATCTTGAGCTGCAAAGCGGGACATGGAAATGGGAACTCAAATGCAAACACCACTTACTTGTTCAGGGGTGGTTTTTCCTCTGAGTGGGCACGGCAGATCGCAGGCTGTGGTGTGGCGGTGCCAGCCTGTCCTCCCGCCTGGGTGAGGCTCGGAGTGGCCCCAGGCAGCATTTTGGCTGTGATGTGCTGCACCATGCACCCCTGCCCGCCCTGCCCCTGCAGCAGGCTCATCCCTCGGGTGCGTGCTGGTGATGGGTGTGCAGCTGCCCTGATGCTGAACCCCGCCTCTTGATAGCTTCCTCTTCGGAGCAAAAAAAAAAAAACGTAAGAGACTGTCAGCAGTTAGGTACAATCCCATCCCTTCCCCCTGTTTTACTGCCTGCAAATACTACAGGTAGTGGTCTCTCGTATTTCAGTGAAAGGAGGTTTTGATCACATTTCATTTTCCATTGCTTATTGTTTCTGTGCGTGATGCTGCTGTTCTCATACATCCCTTTTAAAAAATATTTTGGTTTATTTATTGTTTATCTTCATATGTTCTTTTTCCTGTCTTTTGCACTTTCCTCTTTATTTCTGTCCCCAATCATCTGAAAAGTTTGCTAAAGAGTGGGTAAGTGTGTCCTACTTTTATTTTCTTTATTCCAAATTCCTGTGTTAATATGTTGTTTTTATAGAAAAAAATCCCCAAACCATAGAGCAGTTCAGAGACTACCAATCAGACACTGAGACCAACATGTAGCATTTGTAAAGCCCTCACAGTCTTTCTTCCCAAAGTCTGATTAGTATTTAAAGCAGATTTGTCTCTTTCAATGTGATTTGATGTTAACATTTTAAAACAATATTAATGCCAAGTGGTAATGAATATAGTGACTAGCACCAGTGCTTGAAATGTTTGACTGAAAAATCAAATGTTTTGTGTTGGAAAGCAGTCATAATCAGTATTTTCTCAGTCCATTGAAAATAAGAATATACTGTATGTTTTCACTAATTAAATCTTGTATTGGAAACAGGTCTTTTCTAAATTAGTAGAAGACTGTATTTTAGTACCTATTCTAGCCATATTGCAGCTGATTGCATCAGAGCTCCCAAGCTAAGCGAGGTTTGGCTTGTGCAGAAATTATGTTGAAGTCTCAGAGACACTGATGCTGCAGGCGCTGGCATTGGTCAGCCGGGTCTGAGCTTGTGCCGCGGGGTCTGCTAACACCTGGGGTCGGTCTGCACTGCCTGCTGGCTTTTGCATGGGACAAAAGGGCTCGTCTTGGTTTGTTGAGTTTTGTTAATCTGTCTTCTAGTCACTGAGCAAATAATTTAAACGAGTGCTCAATCTGAGCCACGTGCCTGCAGAACCCAGCGTGTGACACACGTTCAAGCACTTTGCTGCGTTAGATGGGAAAGGTGCAACATCATTCCCGGTTCAGCCCATTGCGAGCTCCCCTGGTGCCGCAACTCGTCCCCACTCCCCTTCTGAGAGCTGCGTGGTTGGTGGTGCCCTGGGCAAGGGCTGCCTGTTTCCCTCCATGTATCATTGTCAGGTGCAATCCACGTGCAAAATGGGGAGGATAATGCCTGCAGAACTGAAGCAAAAGGACCTCAGGGTCTGTAGGAGCACTGGGTGCTGATGCTCACCGGGATGGCAAAGCCTCCCCTCCAACATGTGCGTGTGGCTCCCGGAGCTGCAGGCACACAGGAGAGGGCAGGGTTTGCCCGTGTTTCACAAACTAGTGTAAGATTCTCCTGAATTCAGGGTCTCTCCTATAACTGTAAGTAATCACTGGCCACTATAGTGGAGCACAGGGTAATGAGCTGCATAATTTTTTGGTTTAGTGCTACTGCGTATTGTGGTTTACCAAGGGAAGAAGCTGACAACTATAGAACTCTTGCCTGTGATCAGTGCTAATATTTTCCCTCCCCCTCTCTTTTTATTTTTCTTTAGCACCAGTACCATTCAAAAATAGATGAACTAATTGAGGAAACCGTCAAAGAAATGATCACACTCCTAGTGGCAAAGGTAACCTTCAGCTTCAGGTGAAGTGATTCACTGTTAACATTGCGTTTTTAAAATGTGCGTTTCCATCAAAATGTGACACGTGAAGATGTTGAATTTTCTTCTTGTTTCTCACAGTCCAGATCATACATCTCCCAGTCCTTTCATGGTGACTCTCTGATGATTAGGAACTGCGACAGCTCTAGTATGCTGCTAGCAGGATTGCCATACTGGGCCAGAAGTGGTTTTTAGGAACGGGTGTGATGTTGATGGGGTAGCACCCCACGGTCAGCATCACCCCACGGCACCGAGGGCAGCTGCAGTCAGGGGCTGGCACCGCTCGATGCTGCTGCGCAGACGTTGGGGTGGCACGCAGGGGTGGTCACCGCTCCTATGCGTGATGTTGTGCGGACAAAATAACTTGTACAAGATTGCCATATGCTCCTCTAAGAAATTACTTTAGAGGTGACAGTAGTGGGAAATACATTCCAAAATGTCAGGTTTAATTGTTTGGAAATTGTTTTTCATCGGAGTCGGTGCCTCTAGCTCAGCTGCCAGCATTTCCCTTGGGTTGTTGTGTAGGTCTGGTGTGCTGCGCGAACACAGAGGGGAGTTGGTACGCAAGGAGAGAGATGGTGGGGTGTGTTTTTCCTCTAGTTTCAAACTTTCTGAGAACAAGTCATCCCTATTATACAGTGGAGACCTTTAAACATAATCCGCCAACATATGCCAGTTTGATTCTTCTGCAAAAATAACCAGCTAGCTGTGTGCTTGACACTGCGTACTGGGAGTAAGAACCACTGCTTCCCCATCCAGAGAGGGTGTGCTGGCACCCACCTCCTGTCCCCAGCATCACCCGTGACACTGAGGGGTGATTTCCACCCGGTGAGAGGTGGACTGTGTAGCACCCAAAAGGCAATGCTTCTTTCTCCCCGCTCCCCGTCCCGCAGTTCTCAGGCCCAGGTTGTCCATTCCTTTGGCAATGCCTAGAGCTCCACTGACTTCTTTGAAGCTGATGCTGATTTTTACACCCTTGTTCAAGTATTAAAAATAATTACAGTATTTTTTGTCTTTATAGTTTGTCACCATTTTGGAAGGAGTCTTGGCCAAACTGTCTAGATACGATGAAGGAACTTTGTTTTCTTCTTTCCTGTCATTTACTGTAAGTACACACAATATTTTCCTTTCTTGTTTTGTTTTGTTTTGTTTTGTTTTTCCCTGGGTTACAATCTCCTGCTCTCCCAGGACTAGATCAGATAGGTAATAATTCCCCCATTCTGTGACGTTCGAACACTGTGACCCCCAGATGAACTGACAAACAACCTGTATGCAGACAGACAGTATGTAAACACCCGAGATGCACAGTCAGGGTAAAGCCTTCTCCAGTCAGCATCCAGGTTGGTGAAGTGCTGTTGAGGATGCGTATGAAGATGAAAAAAAATCATTGCACTGTACACGGGATTTCCCTAACTAAAGAAGTTGCTTTATTACCACCTTGCATGACAAGTGTGTTCCTCTCAGTCTCCTGGCCATAACAGTGACCATCGTAACAAGTGAAAACAAACTAAGGGAGATCTAGGGAGTGCTTTCTCTTTTCTACAGGAGAACAAGTCAGGGGAGATGCCATGAGGTGATGCCGCACAAGGTGCCTCTACTGCCACATTTCTCCTTGACGTTGCAGAACCAATCCAGCTCATCCCATTGCATGTTTCCTAGAAAAGTACAGGAGAAGAACCATATCTGTGCAAAATTGGCCTCAGTATCCACAAAGGTTTATCAATCTGAACTGTATTCCAGAAAAAAGTTGTGGCAGCTTCTTAGGACAGACATATAGCAGCTGAAGTCCAAAAGTCTTCTGAAAATGCATGCCATGAAGTTTACACAAGCATCTGTTTGCAAGCGTGGATTCTCTTAGCTCAGCTCACAGATGTGCACCCAGGTGCACGTGTCTGGAGTTGCTTGGAAAGCTGCATTCACATTTTCACCCACCGGCCCCGCTGCCCCTGTGCGCAGCCTGTCCTGCACTCGCTTGTTCACGGAGACTGGGCAGGAGGCAGGAGGCAGAAGGCGCTGTTCTGCAAACGGGGAAGGCTTTCCGAAATCTCATTCAGGAGTTGTGTTAGATCCTTGCAATTCTCTGTTGCTTGCTACTCTTGGGCCCTTTTTGCTGAGTTTGAGGCGGTTTTGTAGGGTCCGTTCGGAAATGGGGATGGATGTAGGATGGCTTACCAGCAGAGGCAAGAAACTCTGCTCATGGGCAGTTGTGTGCCCAAAGTCTGGCAGCTTGTCTAAACCACCACGGGGTTTAAACTAAGCATCCTGACTTTTCAGATGTGCTGGAGGCAGTTTGGAAAAGGAGGGGAAGGGAGGGTGTCGCACTCATTGCCCCGTAGTGCAGCTCCTCTCCCAGGATAACCCTGCGTGGTCACCGCCCTGGGGCTGTGCTTGTCCCTGCGCAGGGGGGATGCAAGGGGTGACTTGGGGCAGATACCTTCCCTCCTTCCCATGCTGCGGAGGGTTAGGAGATGCCCGCGTGCCAGCAGCAGAGGATGTGGAGGCGGCAGCTTTTCAGGCATCGGAAGTACCAGCATCAGCCTGGGTAGACAGTGTAACGTGCAGCCCTTCCTTCTCCGTGAATCCAAGCTGTTCCTCGGTTGACGCTGCACTGCTCCCACCACATCCCACTGTTTACGCTGCCGAGTGCTGCTCCCTTCAGTTGCTGAGCGAACCCCCCAGCTGTGCTCAGGGTCTGGGCACCCATGAGAAAGCAGCAAGTAGGTCCGTGGGGTTCAAGCATCCTCACTCTGCTTCTCCTCACTCAGTTACTGACAATTAACTGTCCCAGAAGCAGCAAAACTATCTGTCCCACTCCAGCAGCCCCACAACCTTTGAACCTGGTCCCATAGCTTCAGTTTGCTGAGTTTCCAGCCGGGAAGGGATATGCATCCAAATAGTTATTGTGCAAGTGCATGCCTGTCTCTGGGAAGGTGCTCAGCCCTCACCCCCAGCAAGGAGGCTGGGGGTGTTGTGGAGGAGCAGGATTGCTGCTTTCCAGGCAAGGGACATCTCCCACTTTGGCCCATTTGTTCACTGGCAGCCACTGGGCAGCACCAGCTGCAAGAGGAGGCTGAGGGCCAGCCCCGACCCCTTTGGCACTGGGCCAAAGTCTCCCTTCCTTGCAGTAGTAATGGGATTTGCTGTGTTCAGTCTTTGCAACGATAAATAGAGAAAAATCTCTCTTGTTACAGCATGCTTGCACCACCTCCCACGTTTTCCCTGTCTGAACAAATACAACAAAGTGAGATGGTCCAAGCTGCTGAGCTCTAGAAAGCATTAGTCTCCCACCCCCTTCCACCGACTTGTTTCATCGCGTGTTTTCCAGGCACTCTGCAAGTGACATGTAATCAGGGGTCTTGTGACAGACAGTTTTATCACCTAGTAGGATATCCTCATTTCCAATTCTTGCCTCGAAATTCAAGATAAAATTAATGCATCTGTTGTCCTAATAAATTCTCACTAGCCACTTCTCCTTGCAAGAGCACTTTGGGAGGAAAATACCCTTCTAAATTTGGCCAGGCTTTTTTTTCTTTTTGTTGCTACATTTAAGTGCATCTCGGCAGCAGCAACCCAGGCCCTGGCTGGGCATCTGCATGTGCTGATCCACTGAGTCACAGGAATGACAGCTGCTAAAATTCCCTTTAATCTGGATGGCCTCTGTAGGCGGAGAATTACACCTACGGTAATTAAAACTAAAGACTGCATATTACCCGAGGGAGACAGAAGTAAAAGATCTTATTTTTGTTCTGCACAAAATTTGTATGGTAAACTGAGACGTTTCATGGCAAAGTCACATACTTTGTGAAAAACGGCAGCCTAGCGAAAATCACACAACATCCGGCAGTTTGGAAATTTCACTAAATGTAGCCAAATCTGAGTTTAAAGAAAAACAAGTAATTATTCTGATTAAAGGGGAGTGGGCAGGAGAAGCAGCTCAGTTTTTATGTGGGTGGAGGGGGAAGATCTCAGGAAGCTGACTGAGTTATTCTTGTCGCCTCTTGGCTTTGGGGAAGAAGGCAGCCTGAGACGGTGGCGCTAAGCTGGACCTAAGAGTGCTAAACCCACGCTCAGATTGCAGGCTGCTTGGGGTGCCGCTGCATTACTGTGCATGGCACGGTGCAGCCCTGAGCGCGGACCCTGGCTTGAATTCTGCCTGCTGTCAAGGTGCATCGTTTTCCAAGCTTTCCTCCTGGCTGTTGAGCTTTGCTGGTGGGAAGAAGCGTTCTCTTGGCGCTAGCTCAGGCAGCCCTGCTCCATGCCGTCACGGTGAGCTGTGACTGCCCGCTCCTCTGGAGCCGCAGCCCTTGGGCACCTTCCTGCAGGGAGGCTGGGGACCCTCTGCTCCCCTTGGGCAAGAGCAAGCGATAACAGCGCATCGCCACCTCCCAAGAAAGATGTGAGGATAAATGCAGTGAAAGAGCCATGAGTCCAGATGGTCAGCTGGGAACAGGGATACCTGAAGGAGACGAGCCTTCGCTCTTTGCTGGGAGTGAGGGCTTGGCACTGATTTTCCTAACTCTTCTGCAAATTTGTGTGCTGGGACCTGTCCCACTCCATCCCCTCCAGGGTTGCATCAGGGGGGCAGGCTCTCAGCACCCTCCTCCCGCCCTTCCCTCTGGTCGTGCCCCTCGGCTCGGCAGCCCGGGCGCTGCCAATCCTTGCAGCGTTCACCTCGGCAATTACCACCAGTCTGGTCTTTTGTATCGCCTCATTGTGCTTAATTATGCACCCCCCACACACACCATATGAGTGCTTCCACCCACTCTCACATTCTGTCTCACACATACATTCATTCTCTCATTCGGGACACATAATTTATTCATCCCAAGATGCAACTGTGTGCGTGTTATATTTAGGCTGTTTTAATGGTAGCTTTAGAAATATTTAAAAGCAGGTGAGCTTTTACACCCAAACAAAGATGGCCGGCAACACTTACCCTAATTAAAAGCAGAAGCGTTGTGGAAAATCCCAGCCGTACTCTTTCCAGACACGGTGCCTTATGCTACAGTGGGAAAAAGGTCTCTCTGGCCAGCTGGGCGCTGCTCCCTTGGAAAAGATGGCCCTGAAGTTGGGGGCCACCCTGCCTCCCGTGCCAGGCAGTGGGCACCTTGGTGCATGGCAAACTGGGGACAAAGTCAATTCGGGATCTCGCAGCCCCCTCTGGCTTGTGAGGACACCGCCGAGTCCAGCATCCACCCGCTGATATCCTCCCTCAAATGACAGCTTTTAAAAGGCAGGGGAGAATCACAGGGAACTCTACTGCAGCTGTTCATAGTCTGTGAAGCAAAAAAGCTTTGGGGCACTTCTCCATGGTATGGTGTGAGCACCCTGGCACAGTCTGCGAGCTCCAGGGCCAGCAAAAAGGGGGAAAATAACATCCCAGTCTGCAGCCTGCAAATCTGGGGGAAGCACGCTGCAGGCGGGACTGTGGGCAGGGGGCAAAGTGAGGGTCCTTCAGGTGCTTTCTTGTGGCCACCCTGGTGCAGGTGCCGCCAGCCTGGCCGTGCCATCATGTCCCCGCTGCCGGGGAGCTCCCACAGTCCCCGGGATGCAGGTCCCACCGGGAGAGACACGCACTGCCTTCAGAGACACGTGGCATTGGGCGGAGAACGAGGCCTCTGAAGAAAAGAACGATGTCTACTTATGAACCCCATCTTCCCCCGCTCACTGAAGTAGAAGAGGGAGAAGCACAACTCCCACACTCTCATCTGTTGCTATTAGAGCTTTAGCAGCAGTAAAGTTACCTCTCCAAAACAACAACATAAATACCGCCCTTGCCTATTCTTTTAGACAGGAAACACAGTTTTTATCACCCTTTTTTCCCCACTCGGCATTATGTTGTCCTGAGTCTTGGCTGGAGAAGCTCTTACAGGTGTTTAAAGAAAAAAAGCAAAGACCTGAAAATGTGCTGATGGTGTAAACTCTCTTCTTGTTCCTTTCACAGGTGAAGGCTGCTTCCAAATACGTGGATGTACCCGTAAGCACAATTTAAACAACTTCTGTCATAGTAGTTTGCATCATGCTTTGGTTTATGGCATGTGTAGCAACCCACATTGTGCATTACCAGCCAAGATTGAACCATGGGCCTTCACACTTCTAACATTTGAACTGGAGAGAATATCTCCATGGCGTTAATAATGAGCAGTTATCCTCTTATGGAGACCTATGAGGCTGTTTAGGCAATAATATGCAGATGGTGTCAAAAAGGTACCATATTTATGCAATTGGCTTGAATCACATTTAAAAAAAAAAATATGGGAGCAGTGCATTCTGTTAATTCTTCATTTGGACTTGTACAAATACAGTATAATTTCCAAACAAAAAGGTCCAGACATGTTAGAACTGAGCCAACACACATCTAACACATTAGCTAATCTATTTTATTTTTGTTCTTCTAATTGTTGGTTTGTTTTACTCTTTCGGAAAATGACTTTTTTATTACTTTGGGGAAATGGTGATGAGCTAGCAACATGTGTTTGGGAAATTGTTAATGAAAATAATTTTTTCCATTTTTCTGTAATTGCTGTAAGAAAACTGTACATCGTCTCCTCTAATTAGACCTTGATTCATAAGGAGAAGAGCCCTTAACATTCTTAGACAGAGCACTTAACTTGCCAGAAATTTACATTTAAATTGAGTTGAAGTGTAAAATGTTGGCTGGAATAAGGGGTTACTGTAACATTTACAGGCAGAAAGATCCTGAGCAATTACAAATGAAAAAATAATAGATCTTAATATACCGCACCAGTTCCTGTATCCAGTTGGACTGGGAGTGTAAATCAAGAATAACTCAGTTGAGTTTGATGACCTGTATGTATAAAGGATATATGTACATTTAATGCGAATGTGATTGCTCTGTATGCTCTCACACGACAATGTCATAAGTTTATCAGACATCTTGGACCACATCATCTGCATTAGGTGTTTCCATCCCTTTAGCCCAAGACAAACCTTGCCTACAAAATTACCGTATCTTAAGCCCAGCATGGAAGAGACAAACTCTTGAACAGTAAGAGGTCTTGCTTGGTTTAAAATATCCCAATGCAGAGACTGGCATCCTGTTGTCTTGGAGTAATAGAAACAAGATATTGAGAGCATTAGGAAGAGAGACTCAGTCCATTTCTAGCCTCAGAAAAATGTGGACATCCTTCAGTCGAAATTCCTAGTTGTGTGAGTGCATGTGAAATATTTATTCATCAGGAATTTCAGCACAGAACAGTTATTTTAAGTGACTTCTAGGGCAAAGCGTGGCCTTCTCTGAGACCTCTGAGTTCCTGGAAGGTAAAGCATCTCCAGGGAAGCGATCTTGGTAAAATGGTGTATAACCCTTTCAGGCTTTTCCAAGAGCATTTTCTCAGTGTACCTGGGAGACCCCTGGGAGGTTGGTGGCATCACAGCCATGCAGGAGGGGCGAGGCGCTGCTCCTGTCCTTGGAGCCAGGCGGACAGTCCGGTTTTTTGTGTACAACAGAGCAGAAATAATTCATCTGGGTTATTTTTTATTGTTTCCCCACCTCCCCCTGGAAACGAAGCCATGTTACAACGGCTTCCTTGACAGCCTCACCATTTTTGATGAAGTCAACCACCAGCCCTGCGCAGCTCCCAGCCCTTTGCGGGAGACCCCCCGCCACGGTCCGTGAACCACTGCTGTTCTGGGGGAAGGAGGAAGAAAAACCTGCTGGGTTAGAGGCTCCTCTTTCAGAGGACAGAGGGGAAACCCTGGTGTTGAACAGGAAACCATTGGTTAAATCTAATTCCGCAAACCCTGTTGCCATTGTCTGGATAGAAACCAATCCATTTAATGCCACCTTGAAACGGGCACGATCGGTGTGCTGAAAATTGCTTGAAAGTGTAACACTTGACTACTGCCACGTTTGTGTTTGTCCTCATTGTTTTTCAAATTAATACCTTGTCATTGTTGCAGTAGGTGTTAAGAAATGTTACTGGCTTCCCTAGGGCCAAGCACTGGCCCTTTGCTTGATAATTGTTTGCTTTGTATTAAAAAACTCCGTTCCTACTGCTTTCCAAACTGTCCTCATTTTCACCCTGGAAATTACACAGATGTGTTAACTAACTTCAATTTGCAGCGGCTGACAATCGTATCTCTCAGAGAAATGATACTCTGTGATCTGAGGTAAATCACAGTAATGGAAACTAATGACACTAGTTATTAACAAACTTACAATGTGCCATGGAAATTTAAGATTTTGTGGCAGCTCTTGTAATGACTCATGTTACAGTATTTTAATGGGTTTCCTTTGAGGTAAGTTTGATTCCAATATATCAAGCAATGTGAACTCAAACAAGATTTTTTTTTTTTTAAGTATTTTCCCTTCCACCTGCTTCAGTTCCCATTTTCTTTAAAGAAATGCTGTCGTCCCCCAGATCTTGCACACCTGTAGGTTACTGTTTAAAATCAGTTAAATTCTGTGGAGAGCTGTAGAGATGCTTTTTTTTTTTTCCCTGCAGTTTAGAAGCGGCTCAAACATTCATGTTGACATGCATTCCCTGACTTACCATGTACCCAGTTTATTCTTAAGAGCATCACTAAATGTGAGCTCAAGTCAGGGCTCTACACAGAAAAGGAAAGGTGATTTTGGCATCCCTCCTGCAACGCCTGCTGCTTACCGCACACATCCTCACACTGCAGAAGGAGAACCAAGAGCCCAGCTCTGGCTGTGAGCATTCTAGCTTCAGAAACCAGAGGGCTTGCATAGAGAAGATGACCCAAGAAAGCAGCAAATCCCCAGCCTGGCTTGCTGCTTCACTCATTAGGTCAACAGCACCAAAGGCAGCAAGACAGCTTCCCGGCATCGGTATGTCGAGGAAGAGCTTTGTTCCTCTGACCGGCTTCGCTCTAGGTAAAAGAAGAGAAAGAGCGAGTGTCTTTGCATGATCTTGTGCTGCACGCAGTATTTTGCTGGGCACGGGGCACAAAGCAGCGGGACTCGGTGTCCGTCAGGTAAGGAAAGTGTGAACTGCGGGAGGACAGCAGGAGATGGAGAAGGAAAAGCAGCGACGAGGCTACACAGAGGAGCTGCCCCCTGCGCCGCTATTCACGTTTCTCTCTCTCTCTCTTCTTCTCTCCCCCATGCAGAAGCCGGGGATGGATGTTGCTGATGCCTATGTGACATTTGTCCGCCACTCTCAGGATGTCCTGCGTGATAAGGTCAATGAGGAGATGTATATAGAAAGGTTATTTGATGTAAGTAAATGCCTTCTCCTCCTTGGACACCAAGCAGGAGAGACCCAAAATGTGACAAAATAAGACAGGAGGATAAGTCACATTTTGAGAAAATTTATTGATTATAGCTTTAAAAAATAAATAAATCTTTCCTTTCTTTCTGACTAAGGCTCGTATCTGCTCTCTGCCTGCTTTAAATCTCTACTCTAGTCTACTGTGTCTTGGTCTGTCTGTGTGTGGATTTTAAGGGAACAGCATCTTCTCAGAGAGCCCTTTACTATGTTTAAGCTTGTGGAAAATCTTTCTGTAACAGAACATCTTGGTCACTGTTCTCACTGTTAAAATTGGAGCTGGGTTTTTGGCAGATGTGCTTGCTAAGGGCCATCTCTTCTGCGCATTTTGCAGTGTCTCTCGTTGACAAGCACTCCAAAACTGACAGCGAATTAAGCATGCTAAATTTTAATTTTAGAAGCTAACCAAACCAGGGGAATGGACTTTCCTATTTCAAGAGGACTGTCTTGTGGTGTCTGACACCAAAGGTAAAGTTGAGACATGGTCTCCTTGATGAAGATGGCATGGTAGGAACTGACCCAGATGTTCAGAGCTATTTTTCTGTTGCACATGATAAATTCATTGGACTGTGAGAGAACAGTGACCTGTGATGCCCGTTTGTTTTGGATTTGGATGCATGTTAACCAATATCTCTGTTTCTGTTGCTTTTGTTGTGTTATAGCCTTTCTGTCCTCGTAGCTGTTCTATAGTGAAGGTTTTCTGTTGACGGCCAGCCTGCAGCATTAGTGTTTCAGTCTCCTTTAGGGTATTTGTCCATATATCGATTTCTGTTTGAAGCAGCTTCTGTTCCTACTTTCCTTCCTTCCATCTCTCAGCAGTGCCATTTCTCAGTCTCCCGGCTCTGGAACTGTAACAACCTTCCTTGCTTTCTTTACTCGCTCGTTTGCTTCCTCAGTGTGCAGGGAAAGCTGCTTTTTTTCCCCAACCAACCTCCTCCTTCACTCGATACCTCTCTTTCTGCGCATTACCTATCCCTTAGAAGCCTCTTCCTCCTTTACAATTCCCACTCTTTCTTTCCCCTGTACCTTATCGGATTAAAATGGAACTTATCTCTCATGTCAAATGTTTTATCACATTATATCAAGTGGCATGAATTAGAGTCAAATAATCTTACTGTGTACATCTACTAGCATGACCCATATCCACTGAGAATGCCTCATTCATGCACGGAGCGCAGCCGTGCCTGCTCCGGGCGCCGCGCGTGCTCGCTCCGGGGAGAGTTTGCAGCACAGAGCACCAGACGCAAATCACCCATCAAGCAGGCATGGGGAGAAAAAACAAAACATAAAACAAAAGACTGTCGCTTCCATCTGCAGCAGGCCTGCGAGTGCATTGCTCGTTTGTGTTGAAATTTATTCCATGAGCAGTTAAATTTCCAGAGCTCATCTGGACTGTTCTTTTCAATGCCCACACTGCCTTTTCCCTCATCCTTTCCCTATGATTCACAGATGCTGTGTTTGTACCCTTTGGGTCATTATTTCCAATTTTCAAAAGGCTGCAATTAGCACAAATATTGATTTCAGTTTGATCTGCTCGTACTTAGTTTTACCAAGCCATATTTTAAACAAATTAATAGCTGACAGAAAAAAGAAAAAAAAGGAAAAAAAAAAAAAAAAGAGAGCAGCTACCTTGGTGGAAAGCAAAAAGTGCAAAACCTTTCTTTCCCTCCCTGCTTTCCTTGAGTCTCCCTGGTCCATGTGGAATAAATCAAGAGTAGGGTTTGTACGTTGCTCTGCCTGTTCTGACCCATGCTGGCTGCAGGCAGAACCCTCAGCACGTGGGAGCTGTTCCCGTTCCCGTTCCCCATGCTGGCAGGGTGGCATTGGGCTCCGATGCCACCAGCCTCTTTGCGCATGTCCCTTGTATGCGAGTGTGCCCCCGCATGCGTGACAAGCTGCGGGGCCCGAGGGGGATGCGCTGAGCCCCGGGCACCAAACGTTGGAGTTGTGTCTGAGCGCTCGGGTACCGCCTTTGCCAGGTTGGAGCTGCAGAAGTGAATTGCTCCTGAGGTCAGCGCTCGGCAAGGCTGAGGTGCTGCTGGCGGGGCAGTAGCAGCAGGGTTTGTGAGTACCTGGGAGTCACCTGGGCCCACACCCTGTTTAAATCGGTGCTGTGTTCACCTACATTTCGGTAAGGAGAGGAGCAAACGCTTAACAGCATCGTTCTGAGCTTGGTCTCAGCCGCAGCCCTGCAGCGCTTTGCCCCCTCGCCCAACGCAGCGAAGCAGCACGCCCACGGGGGCTTTAAGCTCCTTTGGTCTCTGCACTGACGGGCGTATTTTCCAAGGATGTTTCAGGTGCTGGCTACCTTTTTAATACGAAAGGGAAGAGGAATAATCAAAAATGGTATTTACGATGCCGAATGAGACTTGGGCCTGGTTTTGTTCTTGCTCCCCCCGGCAGAGCAGAGGAGCAATCCTCTTAGCTGCAGAGTTTCTCCAGGCAATGAGATTATTAACACTTTCGACGCCAGCTCCTCCGCTGGCTTAGTGCAGCGGTGTTGGCTTACCCCAGCGAAAAGCTTAGTCCAGTTTTAGGATGTTATATGTTAATATGTGCAGCAGGGGCAGGTAAACAGCATAAACCTGCCTGCAGGCAGTTCCTCGCGTCTCGGTGGGATCACGTTAGAGACACTCACAATATAGAGCTAAATCCCCTTTCTGTGCAGTCAGGAAATGACTTTTTTTTTTTTTTCTTTTTTTCTGTGAATAGTGCAAGAGCAGAGTTGCCCAGTGCAAGGCAGCCTGTTGCACGTTCAGAGGGGTTTGCAGCTCAATCCCCCCGCATTTCTCTGCAGTCCTGCCCAGCCTTTCTGTTCGTTTCCCCTCTTTGTTTCCTCCCAGGAGCAGAGGCTGCAGAGTGCGTTACGCCATCTCCCAAGAGAAGCTGGGTTAATGTGTCTTTTTTTGGCATTTGCCATGATTTCTGAGCTCAGAAACCACCTCTCTTCCCCTGCATCATGTGCCCTGCTCTCACCTGCAGGACAGGGCTGTGCTCTTTGGGAGATGCTGGTGTTTGTGGAAGATTATTGTAATATTTCTGTGTGGTCTGTGTGTTAATCCTCTTAATTCTGCAAATTAGTCAGGTTCCTCCCCCCCCACCCCCAGCCCCGAAACAGAGTCATCTTAATTTTAAAAATCTCTATTCTTGGGATCATTGAACGAACAGATTGATTGTGGAGTTCTGCTGGTAATCAAAACCTAACTAGCTTTTTGGCAGTGCTGTTTACAGCATAGTAACATGACTTATTTACTTGGCCTGGCTCACTAATTTGATAACATTTAAAGCTAAAACACTGTCATAAGACCCGTTGGTAGAGAGCAGTGGTAACTGTTTCAGAATAGCATCCTAGTACCCACTCCCCGCATCCCTGGGCATGGCTGGGTGCTTTAGGATTTAACCACTGTGCGTGTAACACAGAAGGATTGCAAACTGTGTAGTGCCTGATGGAAAGTAAAATTTTATCACTTTTTCCCCTGGAAAGGGGGCAGAGTTGACATGCAGAATGTGACTGTATAGGAGCGATGAGGCAGAGGCAGGCGGGTGTGTCTTAAACACGGGAGAATACCTGCAGAGTGATCGCCAGCCTTCAGAGCAGTGCTGCAAAATTCAGCTCCCTCTTGGCTCAGGACACTCAGAATTTCCTAGGGTCAGGGTTTACACAGCCGTAATTTTGTCTGAAGGCAATGGGAGGTTTACTTGTAAGGATTGTGACCTTCAGTGGAAGTTATTTATCCCTGTGTGTCCGTGTATATATCTTTACACACACCCTCAGATACCCACTGTATAGGTTTTAACACGCCAGAACATACCTGATCCAGAAAGTCTATGATTGACTAGTAGATATTGTGAATGCCAACCTTTCTTCCTCAGAAACTGGTAAACACTAATGTAAAAAGTAGTGAGAATATTTCCTCCCCAGCCACAGGCGAGTAGCACGTACACAAAAGGCTCCTGAACGTGGAAGGAGCTCCCCGAGATCCTGCGAATTCCAGCATCCTGATGCAGTCCCTAAATAGCGCAGATGGCATTTTTCTCTCTGATGATTAATTCAATATCTTACCAAAAAAAAAAAAAAAAAAAAAACAAAAACATGCTTTTGATATGAGAGATCAAAACACCAAGAGAAGCTCCTAAGATTGCAAGGACCTAAAAAAAAAAAATTAATTTATTTTTTCCTCCTTGTACTTCTTGAAGACACCAGCCTGAGTAGAAGATAAGGATTAAAGCAGATGTGCTTAGTGCTAGTTCATCTGCTTAAATCTAGCAGTCTCTGAGATCAGTGATTAAAAAGCCATCTCTGACTCTGATGAAATCCACCGCAACGGTAATACTGTGTCTCTGATCGCTTTCTTAGGGGCCTCATGTCTGCCTAAACCGGACATGGAAAACATTTCACTGGAGATGATACATGGATTATATGGGTCAATTATACACTTAATCTGCCTTCTGGGGATTAAATGTGCATAGATTGACCCTGCGTATTTGGCTTGTCCTTGGCAGTTATCAGATCAGGAAGGTTGCCTTTACCAAAAAGTCTGGTAAGAACTTAATCACACAGCGATCCGGCCCGCGGAGGTGGCGCTGGTCACGGGGCTTTTTGCAGAAAGCAGTTTTACCACTTCACTGTCACTGGGTATGGTCGGCTTCCTCCAAGGTCTGTGTCACAGTCGGGAGACCAGACGGAGTATTTGCTCCTGAAATGAGAAAGCGAGACTGTTCGTCTCTGCAAGATGGAAGTGTTTGCGTTCTGGTTTTTTTTAATCTTGATGGCAGGGTGGGATTGGCGAGGTCCAGGTGGGCATAGCGGGGAGGGCGATGGAGGAGATGGGGGTTTGCTCTGCCCTGTGCCGTCCTCAGTGCAGGACTGTCACTCCAGGTCCTCTCCCGGCAGCGAAGGAGAAGCCGTGGCTCCGCTGTTAGAGGAGCCTGTGTCTCCTTCCCGCAGCC